AGACCCCATAGCAGTAGATTATTCAACCAGTCCTCTTTTTGTGGGCATTTCAGCTTTTCCCAACATTTTTCCATTACAAATAGTTCTCCAGTAGAAGATACTTACTGTCCTTAGATACAGAGGCTTGATGAGATTCAAGTTCACTTCTTTTTTTTTTTTTTTTTAAAGCATACTTTGTAGGTGATGCTTTCTACTTGTGATTGTACCCCATCTAGAGGACAAAATGTCTGGGTGTCTCTTTTTACTTATGTCAAGATGGATTAGTGAGGTTCCTCAGGTTAGTACATCAACCTCTCACCTAGTGATTTTAGCACTGGTTGATGACTTGTTTCAGATCCATTACTTCATAAGGGGTTACAAAATGTAGGTCTTCTATCAATCCACTTGGATTTATTAGCAGAAATTCTTTAGAAAAAAAGAATCAACTATTTGGTCACCATGAAATATAATTCATACAGGAAAGGCAAGATAAATGCTTGTTGGTGACCCCTCACTCCCTCTTTTGAACTAATGTTAGTACGTGGCCTCTCTCCATTGAGTTGGATGATAATGGTTGCTGGTGGTGGTGGTTTTTCTCCTTCACCATGATTTCAGGAATTTCAAAATCCTTTATATTTTTCAATCCTTCACAGTCATTTTTCTTTCATGCTGGCTTTTGTGTCTTATTTGAGTAGTATTTGATCACTTTTTGCCTTCTGGAAGAACAAGATATCTTGAGCTTACCTTGTACATTTCTTGTCCCAGACCTAAATCACTCAAGAAGCCATGGTTTCTTTTTAGTGGAAAATGGTATACTGAGACCACAGTCTGGGCACCAGGAGCGTTAATTGCTTATATTTCTAAATTTTTGAGTGGCTGGACCTAGAATATACATTTTTTTTAAAGTATTTTATTTATTTTTTTATCTATTTATTTATTTGAGAGAGAGAATGAGATAGAGAGAGTACATGAGAGGGGGGAGTATCAGAGGGAGAAGCAGACTCCCTGCTCAGCAGGGAGCCCGATGTGGGACTCGATCCCGGGACTCCGGGATCATGACCTGAGCCGAAGGCAGTCGCTTAACCAACTGAGCCACCCAGGCACCCTAGAATATACATTTTTAAGGGAAGATAAATCATTATTTTCTAGTCATCATTTCAGTTTGGATTGTAGGGTTTTTACAGAACACTTTTTGTTCTAACGGTAGGGGCCTTTTCTTTTATTCTCAGAATCTTGGTTCTTAATGATGTTAAGACAATGACTTTGTGGCTTTATTCTACATCATGCATTTCTGTGCGTGAGTGCATGTGTATGCATGTACACATATACTAGTTTCAAAGTAGCAACACCGATATTTCCATTAACAATATTATTAGTGAGTATGGTTTAAGATTGTTTTGCAATTCTTTTTATTCCTAGGGCATAGCACACCTGGGATAAATAGTCCCTGGCAAACGCTTTAAAAATCACTTCAAATAATTCATGTGGATATGTCACCAACTTGATATACAGATATAGTCATTTGTTTTATTTCTTATCTTGAAGGATTTCATTTTTTTCTTTTTAATTTAGTTTTATTTTAAAATGAGGTAAAGTAATTACGTTGTTCAGGGTCAAAACTTAAATCATAGATTTTCCCTTTCTATCCACCTCTCCCTTCTTTTAGAAATTATGATGCCATAGATCCTTTATATATTCTTTTCTGCACCATGTTTTTTTATTGAATAATGAATGCATCCTAGAGAAGACCCCATAGCAGTAGATTATTCAACCAGTCCTCTTTTTGTGGGCATTTCAGCTTTTCCCAACATTTTTCCATTACAAATAGTTCTCCAGTAGATGACCTTTATAGGCTATTGAGAGTTAGATAAAGTGTAAAGTGATACATATATATATGTATACACACAATATATTATAGCAAAATCATATATACATACATACATATGATTTTGCTATAATATATTGTTTTAGTTCCACAGTCATTTATTAAGTAGTTATAATGTGCTAGAATATAAAGATGAATAAGATGTGGTCCCTGGTCTTGAGGTTTTACAGTCCAATATGATGTGGAGTAAAAAAGAAACATTTTACATTTTTCCTTCTCAGATAATTTGATTTTTTTTTAAGATTTTATTTATTTATTTATGAGAGAGAGAGAGAGAGAAAAACAGCATGAGAAGGGAGAGGGTCAGAGGGAGAAGCAGGCTCCCCGCTGAGCCGGGAGCCCGATGTGGGACTCGATCCCAGGACTCTGGGATCATGACCTGAGCCGAAGGCAGTCGCTTAGCCAACTGAGCCACCCAGGCACCCTCAGATAATTTGATTTTTATGCTTCTAATCAATGAATGCCTCAGCTGGTGCTGTTTTTATATTAAATTAATTCCTGGATTTCTGGATCTATACAAATATCAATAATTTATAATACTTTCTATTATATTTAGTTACAGTGCTAATACAGAACTTCTTTTAGTTTATGAGCCATATTATCATATCATCAAAGAATTTAGTTTTGTCTAATCGATTTACGTTTCCCTAGAGCCAGAATTCACAATGACAACAGTAACAGGGACCACAGAGGTCCCCCCAATGGGTAAAAGAGAAGATAATTCTGCCTTGTATGAGTTCACATCAGCTCACGTTATTGAAGAAACCGAATATGTGAGAAAGGTATGCAGGTGCTGGGAATCATATTAACATGACATGATTTTTTAAAATGCAATCTAATATGGTTTGGTGGGCTTTGTTTCTCCCTCCATAGAACCTGAGAGGACACATTTGGCAAAGGACAATCCCAGCAGCTGAAATTTCAACATATATTTAGTAACCTCTCTTGAGGACATGAACCTCTGTTCCCACATGTGGAGTAAACTTGAATAATGGGCCAGAAGGGTTCAGAACACCTATCAGCACTTAATTTGCCCCACACCATTCACCACTGTACTTCCTACCACTTTATATCATTTCTCAGTTGTTTCATGAGTGTTGATACTGCGTTCCCAAGTAGATGTTTACGAGTCTCGCTGAGTTTCTGTCTCTCCTTACCCACTTTCTTTTTACATTCCGGGTTGCTCTCCCCAGTGACCCATGTTGGCATGTTACTTCATTAAAAATGTGAAATCTTATGAGAATCCAGGGATAATGGCTGACAAAAGTATATATTCTTAGGAACTGTTTCTTTGAACAGATAGAAAAATTTGGACAGAGATAGTTGGTAACTTACTCAGATCGATTAATTTATCTTGAGTGTCTTGTAGTTCCATAGGTCACTAAGACTTGGGGCTTATATTTCCTGCATAAATTTGTATGATCTCCTCTTAGTAATTATTCTGTAGTAATTACTAAATAGTAATTATTCTCTAGTAACTACTAGCTAGTAATTATTCTCTAGTAATTACTAGTTAGTAATTATTTTGTAGTGATTACTAAATAGTAATTGTTTTATAGTAATTACTAAATAGTAAATTAGTACTAAATTACTACATAGGAAAAATAGAATTAAGTAGTATTAAATACTAATTACTAAATGGTAATTATTTTTTAGTATAATATTCATTTAGGTTATATTTTAGGTTTGACTGAGAAAGAATTATAAAGACCAAATGTTCATTTTCTGCAATCTAAACCATATTAGCCTAAATGCAAGTCAGGTTAATGGCAGTTATTTAAATCTAAGATCAGTATTTATATATTACTTTCCAATTACATCAGGTATACTATAGCTGGTATAAAGGAAAAAAGTGTTTGGCATTAAATGCCTTTGAAAAAAAATAAAATATTTTTTTCTTCTAGATCCGAACTACTCTGGAAAAGATCCGAAATCAAGTTTTTAAAGATGAAGTAGGACATAACAGTACACATCACAAACTAGAAACAAAGGTAATAAATGGATCAAAATGTACCACTTTATTCCTTCAGTAAATAAACATAAAACAGTATAAACCTTATTTAAATAACTTTTTAATATAATTATTAAATTTTCCTTTGAAGCTTTGAATGATGAATGTTAAATATTTTGTCAGTATCTAAAGATGTTAATGGGCATGTGTATGAAATATTTAACCACAGATGTTATTAGTAGGCTCAGATTGGAATGACTAGACCTTACTTGAATATTTTAAATGGGGCTTACTTATGTAAAGTATATGGGAAGATGTCAGCCCAGCCAGGATATATGGCAGCGACATTTCCCAAAGACAGATGGAGGTACAAACTTTTAGGCTCACAGAATTGAAGCTGTTAGGCTTTTAGGTCAAGCAATCAGACAATTGATAAACTTAAATTTCCCTCTCCCCTTCGACTGGCCTTATATTCTTAACATCAAGCAATCTACACTTAGCCTTGTCTGAATTCTGCAGGTTAGAGCTCATCTGAGCCAAGTGCACCTCATCAATGTCAGTGTTGTCCACTATATAGTATGGCCACAGAGAATGCAGATCACAGGGTCTGAGGCATAAACATTGTTCCCCTTATCATTCTCAGTCTCCCAAACTAACACAACTAGCTCCAAATATTTTCTTATAGTAAGTGCTCAGAAACTAGAAAAAAAAGGTTAATATTTGTGAATGGTGAAAAAGATAAAAAATTCCATTTTGGTTCTATGGAGTTGTTTATTAGACCTCTAAGTGGAGGTTCCTAATGGGTGCTGCATGTCTGATTCTGGAGTTGAAGGGTCTGGGCTTGAAGGTCCAGGCTACAGGGCAGGGATTTTGGGCATAAGGATAGCATTTAAAGTTCTGAAATTGGAGGAGATCACCAAACATGTGAGTGTGGATAGAAATGACAGGGGCACCTGGGTGGCTCAGTCAGTTGAGCATCTGACTCTTGGTTTTGGGTTAGGTCATGATCTTATGGGTCCTAAGATTGAGGCCCGCCTCCGGGTCTAGGCTCAGAGGGGAGTCAAGGATTCTCTCCTTCTGCCTCTCCCCCCATATGGGCGGGAGCTCTCTCTCTCAAAAATAAATGCGTAAATAAATAAAGAAATCTCAAAAAACGAAAGAAATGACAGAAAATTTGAGCACTGGGTTCTGAGATATCCAACACTTAGGAAGAAGAAGAATCACCAGAGTAGGCTGGGGAAAGAAGCTAGTGAATTAGAAGGAAAATCAGGAGAGAAGGGAGTCACTAAAGACAAATGAAAAAGGGTTTCAGAAAGGGGGGAGGGGCCGCTGTGTCAAATGGTGCCTATGGGCCAAGTAAATGGAGGGCTGAACATTGACCACTGGATCTAACAATGGGGAGGTTGTTGGTGACCTTGGTAGGAGTAGCTTCTTAGAAATGGAGAGGAATTGTGTTGCTTGTGTCTGCCTTGGTCATCTCAAACCTCAGATGGTTAGCAGACAAATAACAGCCTCAAAGTACCTGCCCCTTCCCCTGCAATATCTGAACAATGTCCATGTAGGAATTTAGCCATCGTGATCTTGGGCTTTGCTGCTCACCAAGTGTGGGCTGCCGTCCTGGGAATAACAGCAATATCAGGGAGGTCTTTAGAAATGCAGCATCCAGCAAAGAATAGTATGGAGCAGATACTGTTTGGAGGGTAGGTGAAATTAACTGGGGAAAAAAAAAATTGTATAATCACTTCTAATTCTACTCTCTAGAGATAACCGTTATTAACATTTGCTACGTACATCCTTCAGTTTTTTTCCTATGCATGCTTTTGTATATATGGCTATGTTTCTTTCCATAAAATGGTATTGCTGTATATATTGTTTTATGTCCTGCATATTTCACGTAGAAGTATATTGCTCACATTTTCCCGTGTCAATATATATTCTTCTGTGGCTTAAAAAAAAGGAAAGAAATGCAGCATCTAGAGCCCCACCCCAGACCTCTTGAATCAGAATCTGCATTTAACCAGATCTGTCACCAAGTGACTCATATGCACATTAAAGTTCAAGATGCACTAATCCATGACCTCTGTAGCTATCTATTGCTGCCAGCAATCTGCCTTCTACAAGAGTCTTTCTAACAAGTATTCTTTAACAAATTAAAAAACAAAATAGGGGTGCCTGGGTGGCTCAGTCGTTAAATGTCTGCCTTTGGCTCAGGTCATGATCCCAGGGTCCTGGGATCGAGTCCCACATCGGGCTCCCTGCTCAGCGGGAAGCCTCCTTCTCCCTCTCCCACTCCCCCTGCTTGTGTTCCTGCTCTCGCTGTGTCTCTCTCTGTCAAATAAATAAATAAATAAAAATCTAAAAAAAAAAGAACTCTTTAAAAAAAAAACATATATACAGAGAGTGAGAGTATATAGTAGGGTCTGGAGTAGAGTAAATAAAACCCTGACGGAATTATAGTGACTATATTATTTATATGCACTATATTCTTTTTTGGTTTTTTGTTTGTTTGTTTTTATTTCTGTAGATGTAGCCCATCTTTTGTACTGAAAAGAATATTGGTTTTGTTAAACAGACTTGGATGCTAATTCTGGTTCTGGTAGTTATTTCAGGTATAACCTCAGGCTTATTAGTGAAACACCTTCATCTTCAGTTTCCTTCTCTGTATAACAGGCACAGTGCTTTCTAGTGTTTTAAGTAATCAGACAAAGGGGTGTTGATAAAACATCTAAAAGATTACGTGGCACATAGGTAGATAGATGCTTATTAAATAGAAGCTATTATTTTATAATTGTTTCACGTAGGGTATGTAGAATTGTGTAATTCCTTCGTCTGTCTTGAAATAATTTGGAAGAGGAGAGAGCATAGGATGGATACTCAGGAGGCTCTTTCTTGAGCTCTCCCACGTACTGCATAAACCCAGGCTCAGTACCTCACTTTTCATGTCGTAAAATTGATGTAGTTGAGTCAGATAATTTCAAATTTCCTTTCCACTTCTGCGTGTCCTTGATTCCAGATGAGATTTAGCTTATGCTCTAAGCGTATTTTCAGTGGGCTAGAGTTTACATTGAGTCACACTGGCAGTAATATTCAGTTCTGACATCTCTGGAAATTTAATATGGGGTGATTACAGTGAAACATCATTGAACATTGAATATTATGTCTTATAACTATTACGTCTGATTATATTCGTTTGTAATACAATGTAACCAAAATGCACTTATGTCTGCAACTTAGATAAAAAAGGAAAAAAGTTGGCCTTGTGGATATTATTTATCTCCTAAAAAGGACTTCATGGTAAATTTAAAACTATAAGAAATATAAAAAGTATAAAAGATGTACCTCTACGTTTTTTTGATATAAGAATCTAATCAAATTTGAGCAAATACAGAGGTCAGCTGCTTCATCTAGAATTCCCTATTAATACTTGAAATTCAAAAGATGTATTTTATTTGTGCTGACCTGAATCTTTTTTGGTATATGTAACAGTGAGTGGTAATTACTGTTGTCAAAGTTTGTAGAGGAAAGGAATAGTCAGGTTGATGATTTTTGTGTGTTTTTATTTCAGCACTGTCGAAACATTCAAAATGGCTCTGATTCTGAAATGGACCCCTCTTGTTGCAGTTTGGATCCGCTCATGGAAAGGATGAAAGGAAAAGAACAGCAGATCTTAGAAATGAACAAAGAAAATGAAGTATTGAAAATCAAGGTATGGCTATCAGGAGAAATTTCTTTTTTTTTTTTTTTAGATTTTATTTATTTATTTAGGGAGAGAGTGGGAAGGGGCAGAAGGGAAGGGAGAGACAGAACCTCAAGCAGACTACCTGCTGAGCACGGAGCCTGACATGGGGCTCAGTCTCCCAATCCTGAGATCATAACCTGAGGCAAAACCAAGAGTTGGATGCTTAACTGACTGAGCCACCCAGGTGCCCCTATTAGGAGAAATTTCTAATTTTGTATTTTTGAGCCAATAAGATAGTTTCATGGATGTGTAAAAACAGACATCATTATACATCCACAGATCCACACATATGTTCACCTATGTAGAGAAACGCTTTTCCATTTCATAAATTAATTCTCACTGTTTTATTTTGGAGACTACTTTACTATTGAAAAGATTTTACACAAGTTCAACGGGTATAAAGTTTCAGTTGTGCAAGATGAATCAGTTCTAGAGATCTGCTGTGTTGTGCCCGTAGTTAATACAGTGTCTTACACTTAAAAATGTGTTAAGAGGGTCGGTCTCATGTTAAGTGTTCTCACTAAATAATTTTTAAAAGTCTTTCATGTTTAATAAATATTAATTAGAGCACTCAAAGTCAAATGTCTCATTATTTTGTTTAATCTGTTGTTGGATGCTTTATATTTTCTTCTTTTTCTTTTCTTCTTTTTTTTTTGGTTTGTTATGTATGCAGTCCTGCAATGAATATCTCTGTAGGTAAATCTTTGTGGCCATTCCTGATTATTTCTGTAGGTTAAGTCCCTTGAGAGATTCATGACCCTCACCCTTAATCCTCACATCTTGTCCCACTGCTATTTTAGGAAAATACATCTTTTAGGACTGTTGTGGACATCAATGATAAAGCACAAATAAGTGTATAAGCTGATAAAGCACTGGGAGCTCTTTGAAGGGCGCAGTTTATAAATGTAGCCCATTGATTTTGGCGCTTTGGATTGGCCTGGCCAGTGCAAATCCTTCTGCATGACAGTTTCCCTAAATAGGGTGTTTCTCATTTTACATTTTCCTCTTAACCAGATCGTGGTGTCTTTTCTCCTATCTATTGTCTAGGAGGGTGCAAATGGTACAGTTACAGCCTCTTTTCAACCGCCTATTAAACTGTTCTGCCTTTAACCCTTTTTGCTGTAAACGTCAAAACATTCATGACCTCTTTTCCCAGCTGGAAGCCTCCAGACAAGCAGGAGCAGTGGCTCTGAGAAACGTGGCCCAGAGATTATTTGAAATCTACCAAACACAGTCTGAAGAAGTTAGAAAGAAGCATGAGGATGGTAAACACTTACTCGAGGTACTAAGCTCGCAGCTTGTCTATTGGAAAACTAACACCCCAGTGTGTGTGTATGTGTGTTGGTTCACAAATCTCTTTTTGAGGTTAGGTGTAAAATAAGCAATGGCCCCGTGACTTTGGCAAGCCTTGGACAGGGCAGGGTGCCCATCTTCGGTGCCGGTCTCTCCCCACCCCTGCTTAGCCTGGCACCCAGGCGTTGCCCGGTGCTGTGTTGCTGCTGTTGCCCAGAGCCCTGTGGAACACAGGTGGAAGGAGGCGGTGCCCCCTGTCTGGAAATCGGGGCTGTCCCGGTGACACTGGCCAGTGACTCCTCTCCTGGTTCTGCTTTTGACTAACTAGATGACCTAGGTAGAGTCGTTCTCCCTCTTTGCGGTTGGATTTCCGTGTCTCTGCAAGGAAAGAATTGGGCTAGATCAATGGTTTCAAAATGGTTTTGACCCTAGAATATATTCTTCAAATTAAAAAAAAGAAAAAGTATGTGTACCTTTATATTTTAAAATACATATTTCATATTTTAACATATAACTATAAATTAAAATATTTTAAACACATAAATGTGTATACATGTGTATATATGTGTGTGTGTATCATAAACATACACACATGCAGACACACCCAGACTGACACACCCATCCTTTTTTTGTTTTGTTTTTAAATCTGAAATGTACATTCTAGGACCAATAAACCTTTATCTGGAGAATGTATTCTAGGACTGGAAAAGGAAAAAAAAATGTGTGTGTGTGTGTGTGTTCATCAAAACTCAAAATAGGGAAGCTCACTGAAGCTGGGGTGGGGTGCCTCGGCCTCTGTGAGCTCAGGCCTTGCAGAGGTCCCCAGGGGAGCACAGTAGGAAATCCACTGGGCAGGTGATAACACCTTCATGCTGCTGGATGTGGTGGTGATGGTCAGAAACTCGCATGCATGCGAGGGTGCAGATAAAGAACCTCAGTGAATGAAGCAAGCAGTCTTGTGTGGACCTAAGTGCTCTGTGTGAGTGAATGGTTGGCCTGTAGGGAAGCGAACGCACACACGTTCTGCAAAGGGGGCTCAGCCCCGGCCTGAAGTTGCCTGGCAGGAATGCCCAGCTGGGGTTTCCAAGGGAACGGAGCTAGACACTTTTTTCTACTGTAAATCTCAAGTTTTATGAAATGTAAATGTTGATGTGTGTGTGTGTGTGCATGTCGAAGTCAGTTGAGACACTCCCAAGTGTGGCCTATGAGCTGCCAGATGTAGACTTCACTTCTATGGTCTCTAGTACCACTCAGGCTATGGGCCTCAGAAATAGCCCCCAACACAGTGGGTATCATTATTCTGCTTTTATGAAACTTTCTGATTAAAAATAAAACCCTAAAAAAAACTGAAACATTTTTTACTGGAACAGTAAAAGATTTCATTTTTGTTCTAATTCAGTTTCATTGAGAAAAAGTCAAAAATTTCACTTTTCTTAAATTAGCATCTCTCTTATACCAGTTGGGATAGCATGATTTATGGTAACACATGTAAACATTCTAGGAATAATACTAATATATTATTAATTCTACATTGCTTTAGTTTGTTGCAGCCCATTAATTCAAAAGAGTAATTTGAATCAGGTGTGAATTACTAAATTTTTTGGCTACTCAACATTATAGAGGGAGAGAATAGCTGTATAAATTTAATAAAAGCAAGAGTTTGAGAATCGTTTTTCTGACCAAAGGTTAACAGACTCGAAAAGGAACAGCAGTTGAAGCAACATGTTGAAAATCTGAATCAAGTTGCTGAAAAGCTTGAAGAAAAACATAATCAAATCACAGAGCTGGAGAACCTTGTACAGAGGATGGAAAGGGTGAGCCCCTGGGGATTTAAAGGGATTTCTTCCAGACAGGGTTAGGGAGAGAATGAAAGAAAATAGCACTAAAATAAATATATAAATATTACATATGTATAAATATAACAAATTTATATAATTAAATATATTTATATAATAATATGTATATTTTATTTTATTGGTTTTTTTTATAATGTTCAATTAGCCAACAATAATATATATATTTTAGAGAGAGAGCATGCATGCTAGAGCGAGCAGGGGGAGGGGAGAGGCCGAGGGAAAGGGAGAGAAAGAATCTCAAGCAGACTCCCTGCTAAGCACGGAGCCCGACGTGGTGCTTGATTTCACGACCCTGAGATCATGACCTGAGCCAAAATCAAGAGCAGGATGCCCAACTGACTGAGCCACCCAGGCACCCCTAAAATAAATATTAATTGAAAGTAAGTACCCTTTGCAACAAATAAGACTTTAGAAAGTACTGAATAATATTAGTTCCTTCCCTTACGCACTTAATGTGATCTGTACGGTCGCTGATCAAATACTGCAGTCATATCATCCTCTGTCACTTTCTCTCTCTGGTGTATGTATGGCTTAGAAAGGCGAAGTAGATGAGACTGTGAGTGGAAACAATGGGAATGATCACAAAGTCCACCTATTACTAGTAATCATACAGTGGATCCCGGTAATCATAGCATTTCTACGTATTAGAGTCAGTGAAGTAACCATTCTTTGGCCACCCGAGTTCACTTTAGGATTGTGAATACCTGTGGCTGCATTAGGACAGGTATAATTCACATTAAGAAAAGACATCCTCTAGGAATTGGAACTTCCATAAGAGACAGTTTAGAAAAGAGTTGTGACAGAGCAAAAATTCTTAAAAATTTTATGCCATGTGCCTTCTTTGAGTGGCTGACTCTCCAAAAATATGCAAAAGGTGAGCCCATAAATTTAATAATGCATCCCTTAGAATTTAGAATACAGGCAAACCAAGGAACACTGGGTTTTTAGTGGCAAAACAAACTAATAGAAAATTGGGCTCTCTGAAACCGAATTTGGGCTAGATAAGAATATAGGCTTTGGAGGTGCCTAGATGCCTGGCTCATTCAGTAGAGCGTGACACTCTTGATCTCAGGGTTGTGAGTTCGAGCCTCACATTGGGTGTAGAGATTACTTAAAAATAAAATATTGAAAAAAAATATATAGGTTTTGACTGCTGGTAAATATTGCCCAATAAACTTTTACATTTACTATAATAATTCCCTGATTTGCCTTTTCCCTTCTCAGCCTTATTCTGTTTTATGTCTGCTTGAGTTGATGCCATCTGAGAAATGTCACTTCAGAAGCATCACATGTCAATATTCAGGTTTCTTGCCAAAGGAAATTTGATTAATTTTTTACATATTTCCCAATAATTTAATTTATAACACTGAGTTTGGTTGAATTTGTAGTGTCAATGAAGGTCCTATGAGGAAATCACAAAATTTAACTGAATCTAGTAATAATAATATATAGCTACATCTGTGTTGTGCGGTGGGTCACTGAATGTTTTACTGGAGCCAGAATCGCTGGGCTAGAATGTCCTCAAGCAGCTGGTTTGCTGACGTGGGACAGTTTATAGTTAGGATATTTTGAACAAATTGTAACATTTGGATGACTACTTTGTAACATTAGAATATTTATCCTGTAATAAATAGTTTCACAAATTCAGCACAAAGAATGTTTGTATTTAGGAAAGGAAGACAATTCTGGAATGCAAATAGGGCTGATTAACCAGCTTTCATTTAAATTTAGACTTGTGATCACCTCAAACCCAAACCCAGTCACACTGCATCAGGTTTAATAGCCAGCTGTGGAATATCATTTCTATTTCCTAGAAATCCTGTGAAATGGATGTGAGTTCATCTCAGAATTCTGGGTTTGACTGTTTACTCAACAAATACTTGAGCACTTACCGTGTACCAGTCAGAGCTAGAGGCTGGATATCTGTTTGTGAATGAACCAGGTATAGTCTCTTTGTGGAGATTGCAATGTAGGGTATCTGGGTTCTGTGGGGACTCGAGGAACTTCCCATACCTCTCTTCATTCATTCTCCTAGGGAGGCAAACACCCATATTGAAGGTAGGGAAATGTACCCCAGAATAAAGTTGACTGGCTTACATACTGGCAGACATTTTTGAGAAGTGATGGCCTAGCATTTATCTTTTTTTGTTGTTTTATTGCTTTTGTGTTTTTTGCATTTATTTTGATACTGACCCATAATGGTGGACTGTCTCTAGGTGCTCTGTGACAAAGTAAGTGGACAGGATGCCCATGGCTCATGGCCATGCAGACACCTTCCTGAATATTCTAGTTCAGTAATTTCCTAGAGTAGAGCCTATTGAAATCTCAGGAAGGTGGAAGTAGGTGGGGATGGATGGAAGGGCACTGTGCAGGAGTTTTTTAGAAACATATTTAGTTTAAAGGGATGTTATATCTGTAAAACAAACAAGCAGATAAATTAAACTACATCTTCTTGTTTTAAAGTAATACCGAGAATACTTTTAAGGCTGTGATGAAGGGTTCCTCAGGTGGCGGGGTGTGTATCAGAAGGAGAGGAGGGGGAACGCTAGATTTTTGTGTTAGTAGGAGAAAGACATGCGTTGAGAAAGGAAATGAAAATTAAAAATGAATGCCCACGCAGAGGTTGATAAATACTGCCCTGGTAGTCGGTGGCCCCTAGAGAAGGATTCATTTTCTACTCACTTGAACAAGCCACTGCTCCAGTAAATGGCCATTAGTGGTATGAGGTCTGGTAATGAACACATTACTTAAAACCTTCACCATCTGTCCCACTTTAATCAGGAATGCAGTGAGAATGAATTCCGTAAACACGGTGATAAGCCAGAAAAAACGCCCAATAAGTGCATTTTAATACAACATATGTTCCTTTTGCTAGCAGTGCAGTTCTGTTGCATCATATTTGTTTTCCGCTGTCACTGATTTAGCTCTATTAGAATTTTAGAGCTCAGAGGTGCTTTTGAGACCATCTAGTTCCTCATTCACCAGTTTATAAATGAGGGCAGTGGGAACAAGGAACGATTCCACTGTCCTCCAGTTACCAGTTCAAAATGCTTTCCATTATGCCCCGATCTTCTCTGGTGTCAGATAAAAATGATATAGTTGGTTCCTAAATCATTTAGATGTTAACAATGGCAATTATTTAAATTGGTGACTTCTCCACTTTGATCAGTAGGACGAGGGAGCTCTTGAGCTCCCCAGTGCAGCAGTTTTGGGAAGAGTGCATTGCCCACTGGGTGGTGCTGTGAACTCCTTCCCTCTTCCACAAGACACTGTTGAGAAAAAGGGCTGGACAGTATGGTGTGATTTTCCATGTTGTCAGAGAGGAAGCATTAAGAGCCCAGGCTTCATGCTGGAACCTTAGCCAGGGCAGAATGTTTACTTGTCCAGTTGTCCAGTCTGCTTGAACCCTGGTTATGAAGATCCATTAATGGAGAGTAAGCCCATTAAGAAGAATGTTAAACACCATTTTCCTACCTACAAAGTCGAAATATATTATCAGTGTTGCGTTTCTTTGATGATCCAAGTATCAGAATAAGCTTACAAGGCATACCTGTGATCCCTCCAAAATAACACAGCTAGGGAACACAAGGGAAATTCCTATATGTGACAAGAATGCTACAGGAAAAAATTGAAAAAATTAATATAAACTTAAAAAATAATAGCGCCTAAGATAGGGAGTGTTTGGCGCCTTCAAATTATTATAAATCAAGGTCCTAATATGTACGAAAGAAGCATGTGGGCCTTTCACATATAATATCTCCAACCATCCCAACGTTTCAATATAGGTAGTAGTATCCCCATTTTAGGGATGTTCAGAAAGTCATGACTTAAAAAACCACAACTTAAACAAATAAGAATGAATACATGTCTGATATTTTACTCAACTCATTCATTAATAAGGGAAGCAGTAAGATGGTAAAGCTGGTTTAAATAGAAGATTTTGAGAAACTGGGTATTTATAGGCATTTTGAAAAAAGGAATATAGGATCGGATTACTAGATTAGATACAAAGCTGGTTAATTTTTTTGAAGACCATCAAACCATAACCTGAGGGATTATCTTTTCTACCAGGCAGAAATCTACACATGAACATTCAACTTCACAGGGTCAGGGCTCTAATCAAATCATAAACAATAAAGTCAAACACAGAAATTCTCCATGAGAATTGGTTATTCAACAATGACCCAATTTGACATTAAAATCATATATGGTTTTGTTTTCCAAGTTTTGGCTAGTTTTTCTTAACAAACATGTTACAGTCACAGTTTCAAAACTGGGTCAGTCCATGTCCAAAGAGATTCCCACTGCATTTTGTATTTTACCCATATGAGTACTGCAGCAGGAATGGTTTTATTTTTTTTTAAGATTTATTTATTTATTTATTTGAGAGCGCGCGAGCACGAGTGTGGTAGGGGAGGGTCAGAGCGAGAAGAAGACTCCCTGCTGAGCAGGGAGCCCGATTCAGGACTTGATCCTGGGACTCCAGGATCATGACCTGAGCGGAAAGGAGTCGCTTAACCAACTGAGCCACCCAGGCACCCTGGAATGGTTTTAAACAGCCCTGTAAACAGTGTCAAAACATCTCTTACCATCAAATATTAAAAGAAAAAAAAAACCCACAATCATCCCAACTTGGTTTTTCATGGACTTGTTTTTTTTTTGAATGGAAAGAATTTAATAATGACATTCAGGTATTTCTTTATATTTTCTTTCTCCATGTCAAAATTTCTCTTATATCCGAACTAGGAAGTGACTTTATTGCCTGTGGCCTTGATCCTTCACTAAAAAGGCATTTACTACTTTTCTACTTTCTGACAGGTGCCATGTGAGCAGGTAGGGTATAAGGTCAATAGTGTCCTTGGATACCAGCGACTTGGTCTAATGTAGGAGAAGTAGGTGGGATGGAGGAGAGCCAATGCCTAGAGAGATGAGCTGCCAGTTTGTATTCGGGGCAGGGTGGAGAGAGGCAGGAGTCTGACGGAGCACGGTATACTTCAGTAGGTGGCTGGAGGAGGAGCAAAACCTCTCCAGGCAAGTGAAGGGAGTGAAGACAACTAGTCTTGACCTGTCCCTGAGCTACTTGGAAACCACACAGGAGAATGCCTGGCCAGGTCTCATTGGGGTGGTTGTAACAGTGCCATCTGAAATGAGCTCTTTAGCTTAAAACATATTTTCTAATATTATAAGAAGTGTCTTTTGCAGTTTGCAAGAGTGACTTAGCAAACACATGCACACATGCACAGAAATAAATAAAATTGTATTTTATTTTCTTCTAGGAAAAGAAAACACTGCTAGAAAAAAAACTGTCTTTGGAAAACAAGCTGCTGCAACTCAAATCCAATGCTACATATGCTAAAAGGTTTGCAGATCTCCCTCCTTACTAAAGCAGTTCCTGATACCTTTCCTCTCCGATGGTCCACTGGCCAATGGACAGAAGGCTAGCACCCTCCGAGGAGACAGGAAGGCTGAAAGGGCAGGACAAAGGGAGATTACTTAATATTAACAGCCACGTACCTCCCCTCCCTCCCCCTGGGGAGAGTTCCCTGGAGGTACTGGGCAACTGGGGCAGGGTTAATCCTCCTGAAGAATGAATGAGCCTGTCCCTTCCCTGTTGACCCTGGGTGCTAAAGAGGATGCTTCATTCCCCCTGATGCTTCTGATTTTGTTAAAGGGTCTCTGCTATAACATGCATCAAATTGGCTAGCCCACAAGTGGAACTGTAAGATCCTTTTATGGTGCTCCCCAACTTTGTAGAGAATGAAGGAACTACTCTGAATGCATTCTTAGTTCTTTGGACTTACTTACAAATACTCATAATTCACAAGCTGTTAACAGCCCTGAGTACAGGGCTGGCGTGGATCATGGTTATCACCCAACTGCTGCATTACTTCGCTGCTTTTAGAAAAATTCTCTGGAATATCATGTAATAACTGATAACATATAAAATTTCCTCACTTTTGTCCCCCTTCCCTTCTCTTCTCTTTTAATTCTAAACCTGCCACTGTCATTATAGGTTCTGATATAATGTTCCAAGTCAAGCCTATTTTGAGGTCTTCTTTTATCCATCTGGAACTATTGCTTCTTAGGATATAAAGCACTATGATGAGCCTCAGAATGTACAAATTCTTATTCTCATTTATCCAGTAATATATACTCAAACATCCCTCTCTCTTGGTCTTTGATTTTTTTTTTTTCTGTTTCTCGTTCCTTTCCAATTATCTCTTTTTCTTCTCATCTCTCAAAAGCTTCTGCCTTCCGTCTGGCTCATAGTCATGTATTGAACCACATACGCCAAAGTCCAGACCTGGTCTGACCCTAGCAATTGCACTTACATATTCAGAACACACTGGAATACCACGGATATTAATTTACCCATATTCTTCTTTGTGAACAAGCATGTAGCCCCAGTAGGGAGCTTTCTAAGAGTGTGCAGGATAGCACTGCTCATCTCTGTCGGAAATGAAGTACTGTGGAAGACATTCATAGGTCTTCAGAATTACTTGCGTATACTCATAACTTAACTCTAAGTAAATCTGTGGGTTATGTTGGTTTTTTTCTCTTTTTAAAGAGAGCCTGTGCATACAGCAGAACTACTGGCTGGTACACTATGCTTTCCATCAAGAGTCCAGACAATCTGAGTCTGATTTTTTTCCCTTTAAAAATGATTTTTATTGATAATAGGGTTTTTGTCAGTCTTTGAGCCAAAAATGTAACCATTTTAAAAGCCAAACTGAACTGTTCTTTCTGTTCTATTATATATAAGCAATTGTTACAGGGAATTCTCAGAAAGCTCTTAGGGAGGATTTAGAAATGTCTTGAGGGAAATGGATGTTTTGTGTTTCTAGAAAGGTGTTTGAACATCCAGGCTTATGTAATTTTCATAGATTGTAGGCATCACAAATATTTATCTTACTTATTATTTGTCTGTGTGTAGAGGTATTCACTCTGCTAAGTGACAAGAAAATGAAATCAGTAGGAGTCAGACTCTTTAGGTTAAAGCAATAGAGACTTGGTAAAGCTACCACAAATAAGAGGATTTCTGGTAGGTGAAGACTGATTAGATATGGCCATAAAGAAGATGCATCTTGTGGGAAGATAGGAAGACCACCCTTCAGCATCTAATGTGTTTTCAAAAACCAGATTATTTTGTTGCTGCTATTCAGTTATGTGTATTCATACAGTTTCACTCTTTCTTGTTCTTTGTTTTTCCTGTGTGATTTATTAACTTTTTTCAGTGGTTTTCTCCAGCTGGCTTATATTCTTCATTTTCCTTTCAAATTGCAGAGAAAAGAGTCTGTGGGCCTAATACTTACTTCCTGTATTGGGCAGATTGTTCATGTTCACCAAACTCCTACATTGTCATCTAACCACTGGCCTTTTGGCAGGCACCAACTCCCAGTCCTACAGGTGGCCTTCCCTTACTGCCAAAAGAGCCCCCTGATTAGGGGGCTCTGGGTGATTACATTTCCCTTGGGCAGGATGGTGGGTTTGACAGGTGCCATGACTCTCTGCCATTTTTTTAATATCTGTATGACATTTATTTATAGATTTTTCTCTCTATAAGCCTAAGTTAATTAACTCTTTAGTTCAGTTTAAACAATCTGTTTTTTTATTTTATTTATTTTTTTAAATTTTATTTTGTTATGTTAATCACCATACATTACAGCATTAGTTTTTGATGTAGTGTTCCATGATTCATTGTTTGCATATAACACCCAGGCTCCATTCAATACGTGCCCTCTTTAATACCCATCACCAGGCTAACCCATCCCCCTACCCCCCTCCCCTCTAGAACCCTCAGTTTGTTTCTCAGAGTCCATAGTCTCTCATGGTTCGTCTCCCCCTCCGATTTCTCCCCCTTCATTTTTCCCTTCGTACTATCTTCTTTTTTTTTTTTAAACATATAATGTATTATTTGTTTCAGGACTCTGCCATTTTGATGAAAAGATTCAATATGTTCTAACCTGGCATTTCTAATATTAAAAAGCATCTCTAAAAATGATGACTTTTAAGTATTCTATAATTCAGGAGAAAATGACAGTTTTTTTGCATATGGATATGAATATATAATTATATTATGCTAATCCCCACAATTACTTTTAACGAGAGTTAAGAGATTTGGCAGAAGCATCTCATGAAAAACAAGGTTGACTCCATATTTCTAATACCATCACTACTAGCCAACACATGTATTGTGCTTTGCTGTTTATAGAGTAACTCCAGGTACCTTATTTAATTTAACCCTTTCATTGACTTTTCAGGGAGGAAACTGAGCTTCTAATTGGTGAAGTGATTATACAGCCTCTCAGAAGTTGTAAATTAATTATTATATTGAGGCATTGGACTCTAGAATTCTCACAGCAGTGGGTGCTCATTCTGCTCTAGAGGAGATTTGACCTTCTCTCATTTCTGGAGACCTCTGGAGGCTTTCCCTCGGACTGGTTTCCTAATTCCCCTGGGTGTCTATGAGCAGATCACAGTTTCCCAACTTGTCCCTCTGCCCTGGGACATCACAAACACAAAGGTCCATTTTAGAGTTATCCTTTGGAGAAATACAGGAGCTCTACCTCAGAAAAATCCTTTAAAAAAGGATAGAATGATGCCAGAAAACTATGAAATCAAAGCCATTGTAACAGTGAGGAGCAGAGGGTAAGGTATGGCATGGTTGAATAATGCTGCCCTCTGATGGTGTAAGTTAACCCAAAGATAGATTTTAAAGTATCCTGATGAATGGATAGAGAGACAATCCTCCCTTAATTCAGTTTCTTTTGACTAAGTGTTTGGCAGACATTGGTCATCAGAGTGATTGAGGGTATGCTTCTTGCCAAGTACTTATGCTACAATCATCCCATATTACTAAAGGCTAAGCCATTTGTTTTCACATTTCTGCAAGTTAAAGATGGGATAGACTTTCTCTCTGAACGTTAAAGAATCTAAGAGGAAGAATATCAGAAATGGTGCTCTGTTCACTCTCCCTCAGTGCCACATGGAGAGAGGATCCTCAATTCCCTTCCTCAAAAGAATAGGACCAAGATTTTCCTCTCTTTTTGATGGGGCTTTTCTTGTTTGCTCTCTTTGGCATTTCCAGACTACAGACTTTTTCAGCTCCAAGTCTGGGATATATGAGGCAAAAAGAAGCCCAGGGAGCTCACCATTGTGTTATGCCTTAGATTCCAAGTCCTGAGCTGGTCTGCCTTCTCTTCACCTTTCAGAGCCTTCTTGTGTTTGTCTACATACAATCTCTAGGTTTTTGGTTGTACTCAACGGGAAGGATAGGAAAAACACATCTACATCTTCCCAAAGTATAAGATTTTCAATTCTATTTTAATTTCAGCATTTACTTTATATTTATATTGAGGCATTGGGAGGCAGAGCATGAATCAGACATCTGTTAGAAGGGCTCGGTGTCTTTTTCTAGGCCTGGCCTTTGTAATGTTTTCTTCCTGCTGGTTTTGCTTTAGTACCTCTTTATTAAGACTGAGTTGCTTTAACAGAAAGAGCAGAGACTAAAGGGAGCTCAGGTGGCAGTTTTTTTCAGTATAGTCTCACATTTAAAGACCTTTAATGGGTGATTAGTTTCATATTTATTGAACAATCCTAAGAGAGAATTTCTGCAACTTCTGTTAATCCCCGTTCTAGTGTACTAATGCAGATAAGTCTGAAAGCCCTGTGTTTTCAAGAGTGCTTCTAGAAATTATTTTCTTCCATCTTGAGACCTATTTCAGATTTCTGTTCATCTACAGTGACTTGTATGGTAATAACCATCACAGAATACATGGGGAAATTTCCTGAGCTTTGTATTTTGAGGAGTGTAACATCTACCCCACCCCATCTTCCTAAAGCCACCCTTTTTTCCCTCTGGTCTGAGTTCTGGGTCATCATAGTACACAACAAGATATTATGAATACTCATCTTTAATATTTTTATAAATTTTTTTTAAAATGTTTAATTTTCTTATGGGCTTATGAACAGTTAATGAATATTCAAAGCCAGCCTGCCTCTGTAAGGCATCCTGAGTTATTTCTCCTTATTTCCCAGGGAAATCCTGAGTCTGACCGCTCCCTCCCTACTTCTCTCCTTTTTCCCTCCTCACTGGAGCAGTCTTGAATCTTAGCCCCACCAGCTGTGGGCTAGACTTCTGTTCGCCTTCTCTGCTGTTTTGATCCATATGTCCTCAACTCATTTTGTGTGTGTGCAGTATCTCTAGTCCCTTTCTAATTTTTCTACTGGGGTATCTGTCATATTGATTGGTAGATGTCTCTTTATATATTCTGGGTACAATGCCTTTATTAATCATTTGAGTTTCTGAGGTTCTGAGGCTATCCTGTTCCCTCTTATTTGATGACTCCCAAGTTTTTTATTTTTGTCTAGTCAAAATTCTCAGTCTTTCCCTTTGTGGTTAATACTGTTTTGAGTTCTGTTTTAAAAAATCTTCATCTATTGCACATTCACGAAGATGTTCTTCTGTATTATCTTCTGAAAGTCTTTTGGGTCCCCAGCTTTATTTACAGTCTATGTGGAATTTATTTTTCTTATGAGTTTAGGATTTTCATTTTATTTTTTTAATATGGATATAGAGTTGTCTCCGTACCACTTGTTGAAAGGATCATCCTTTTTATAACATTCTGCCAAATCATCTTTGATACACATCAAGTCTGTTGGTCTATCCCTGTGATATATATGTATACATACAATAAAAGTGGCACAGATATAGTGTAATTAATTTAATTAGTCTTCTATTAATGAACATTTAGAGTGTTCTAATTTTTATGCTATGAACAATAATGAACTACATTTTACATAATATTTTGTGTAATTGCACAGTATTTTTATAGTATGAATTATTTAATTCCATAGGATAAATAAATAGTAATGGCTGTCATTATGCAATATTTGTACTTGTGCAACAATTTCTATGATTTCATAGAAATTAATTTTTTTCTACAGTAAAACAGTTTTTAAAGCTCTCTCATGCAAAACCAAAAGAGGGAAAAAATTAAAAGACTGTCTTAAATATTGCAAGTTGCCTGCAAATTACTTGGCTTTGAGAGAGAATATTACATATGTTATTGAGCCAACCTCAGTGGTTCAGTGCTGGGCTATTCAAAGCATGGGTAAGCATACTCACTGGTTACAACCTGGAGCCTATTGGAAATGCAGAATTTCAAGCCCTATCCCAGCCTCCTGGATCGGATGTGCATTTTAACAAGATCCCTCATGATTTCATAAGATCCTCCAATGCATATTAAGTTTGAGAAGCAATGTTTCAGTACATGATGTGAAACAAAATGAGACTCTCTTTTTTTTTTTTTTCAAATGAGAACATGGTCTGTAATGTCACATGAGTGTCCACGACCTTTGTAATATTTGTAGAGGCTGTAAAATCAGAATTGCAATTGCTTTGGATGTTGGCTACTAATTGTAAAACCTTAATAGCTAAAGAAATATTAATACATTGCTGTGCAAAAAGCTTACTTTCCAAAAGCATATTCACTTACCTCTTAAGTCCACAGTATATTCTTGTAAAGTAATACGAGTAGGAATTATTCTGTCTGTTACACAGAAGCTGAGAAAGCTTGTGTGAATCCAGTCACAATGCCCCCAAGTTTGGTGAGATTGCCACAGTGCACACTGCCTCAAAACTCCAATAATATTGGCAAGAAGAAAATCTTGGCAAGTCAAAAGCTGTATAATCAATTCCAGTTACCTAAATGGAGTATCGGCAAAGTATGAATAATCTAAATTCAAACTTCATCTATCTTTTTTCACAAAGGTTGATGGGGACTCAAACTATTAGCTGGAATTAAATTTCCTTTTTTTTAATGCCCTATTTACAGGTAGTAGAATTACCCAAAGCAGGAAGACAAAATAATAATAGTAATAATAATAATAATAATAATAATAAAAAGACAAACACAGGCAATCCACAACATACACCACCTCTGTATCATTGGAAATTGGTTTCCCATTATATGCAAAAATCTCCATTCCTAGCCCCCCATGTCCTAGCCCCACTACCCTTATGTGGTTATCTGGGCATTCTGATGAGTGTGCTTGGTGTGCGGGTGTTGCTAGGCAAGACTGTTTAGTTCTGTGAGTACTTCATTGGGCTCAGTACAGTTTGACTCACCCCCCTCCTGGAGAGGGAAGTCACAGATGGCCAGGAGGGAGCTTTTGACATGAATGGATATACTCATTCAAGTTCCTGTCTGAGCTAATCGGAGGCTGCTCTGTGGCTGTTGATCTTCCATGTCTTGCGTGGCATATGGGGCCCCCTGCGTCCTTCCCGCACGATGCCCAGCAATAGGGTCGTGTGTGAGGAGAGCCTGGCAGCCTAGCTGTAAAAAATGGCTGCACGATGCTTCAGCACATCTTTATCTTTTTCCTTTTGCATTTCCAGTTGCCACAATCTTCAAATGGAGATTTCCCTTCTCCAGAAGCAGATCTCTCATCTACAGTTTGTGATTCATTCCCAACATCAGAACCTGCGCAGTGTCATCCATGAGGTCAGATTAACCACGTGTGTTTCTCTGGTAGATGGTATGCTTACAGTAAGAAGACTGAATACAGGCAGCTTGCCTGAACTTTACAAGCAGTGAGATTTTTCTCCCCGCTGACATTTCCTTTTTCTTCCCATGTAACATGACTCTGTTTTCAATGCCTTCTTCGGTCTGTATGCCAACCCCTGTAGTGTTCTCAATGAAGATATTTGGGAAATTGTGTTTAACTGCTCTTTAGGTTTCAGTGTTTTTGTTTTTTTTTTTTAAGTGTTCCGGGCCAGATAATGTACACTGTTCTTTTTTTTTTTTTAATAATTTTTTTATTGTTATGTTAACCACCATACATTACATCATTAGTTTTTGATGCAGTGTTCCATGATTCATTGTTTGTGCATAACACCCAGTGCTCCACGCAGAATGTGCCTTCCTCAATACCCATCACCAGGCCAACCCATCCCCCCACCCCCCTCCCCTCTAGAACCCTCAGTTTGTTTTTCAGAGTCCATCATCTCTAATGGTTCGTCTCCCCCTCCAACTTACTCCCCTTCATTCTTCCCCTACTGCTATCTTCTTCTTCTTTTTTTTCTTAACATATATTGCATTATTTGTTTCAGAAGTACAGATCCATGATTCATCAGTCTTGTACAATTCACAGTGCTCACCATAGCACATACCCTCCCCGATGTCTATCACCCAGCCACCCCATCCCTCCCACCCCCCACCACTCCAGCAACCCTCAGTTTGTTTCCTGAGATTAAGAATTCCTCATTTGGAGATTACAAGATTCAGCCCTTTTTGAGGAAGCAAGGATCTGTTTTTATAACCTCACAAACAGTAAATTTACTTAGTAGGTGTGTGGGGACGGGGGTGTCGCCTGGCCATTCTTTTCTGGGAACATCCTGGCAGGTGAAAGAAAGGTTGGTGGCAGCCAGATGGATGGTGGATTGTGAACTCATACGATTTACTTCAAGAATTCTGTGGATCTGGTTCAGGGGCTGTGCTTTCGACCTAAAATCAGACCTTCACTCATTTTTTACTACCTGATATTTGTTTCCAAAAAGAGTCCTTTCAGATGTACCATTTGGCTAGGACCTCACCAAAAGGCCAGAGAATTGAGTCATGGCACTTGGGAGCCAGGAAGGATGTAGGGGGGCAGCCCATGTTCTCCTTTGACAGATGAGAAAACAGAGGCTCGCAGTAGTTAAGTGACAGAGCTGGTAGTGGCAGAACCTCCCTTAGAACCCGTGGGTTTCCTCTCTTCCGACTCTGTTCTGGTCATCACCCCACCTCCCCAGTTGCACACTGCTTTTTGGCAGATGCTTTTCCTCCCAAGCAAAGCAGGCTCACCTCATTATGCCACGGGTTGACCAGATATCTGCCCTGGGGAGCTTCCTCATTCTGTGTGGTGGCCTTGTGTGATGGCCAAGCCTCTGCATCGGCAGTATGAAAGCACTGTGTGTCGGAAACATAGAAGGATGGCCAAAGCTGCTCTCCACAGGAGACATGCCCACGGGGTTTGGTTTAAACAGGTTTTCCAAAGATTACAATGTTTAATAGGACTGCCCACACGCTCTCATCTCCAGGTGCCAATTTGCCCTGCTCTTTTCTATAACCTACTGAATCCGCTAATGCTTTGGGATTTAATTTTTTTATTTGATGGATGTCAGTGGACCACAGAAACCTGTGCAGTGTCTGACTTAAGTAACTTCCCTGTTGTCTGACAAGATTTTTCCAATTGTGTTTCCTAATTCTTAGATGGAAGGATTAAAAAATAATTTAAAAGAACAAGATAAAAGAATTGAAAATCTGAAAGAAAAAGTTAACATACTTGAAGCCCAGGTAAGGAGGGAGTCTGTTGTATAGTTCAGTGTAAATGTGAGTGTGTGTGTGTGTGTGTGCGCGCGTGCGCACTTGGTGTATCTGTGAGCCTGTGTATGAATGACACAGTGAGTCTGTATATGGGTGGGTGTGTGTGTCTGTGTGTGATTGTGCCTGAGTATGTGTGGGTGTACATGCATGTGTCTGTGTGGGTATATGAGTGTCTTTTTGTGAATGTGTGTGCATGTGCATCTTCTATGCATAAGAAATTATAGATTTGTGGGAGAGGTACTCCTAATAATTATTGAAGTGTTAAACATTATTTTATAATATTAAATTATTAGTATTAAATATTATGAAATAACTGTTAAAAGTTCATCCAAATTTTCCAGAATGCTTGCTCTACTGGGGGGACACATCTGTCCATGTGGACCTGAATTAGAAGTTTGGTCAAGACCATCTTGGGTGAATTCAGCTCTGGCCAGATGGCTGGGTTTGCTGTCTTATGTCTTTGTTTCCTTCCCGCCCTGAGCTGTCCTGTTTCCTCCTCTTTCCTCACTCACACCATCGTGGCTTGCACGATTTGCCTCAGGGCCCATCCACGTCAAGAAGCCTCTTGTAGTTTTATTTTTCAGTGTTTTGAAATATAACATAACACTTTATAACTTACTGTGATAAGACGTGCTTTTCTTCCTGCCCACTCCTTCCCCTCTACACTAGGGAAGCCCTTTATAGGCTTTCAGCTGCAGGCCGAGGCTTGGCAGCGCCCTGCCTCCCAGGAAATGCAGCAAAGCCCACTGAGGCTGGAGCACGTGAAGACGCCACCCTGCCTACCCCTGGGCTCTAGCTGGTGCTCAGTGCTGCCACCTCTGCCTCTGTCAGAGGCTCTTCACTGACCGCCTGGGCCTAGTCACCTTTTCTCCTTCATTCTGTAGTATTTCGACTTCCTGCTTGTCCCCCTACCACGCTGTCCTGTCCTGTGGAATCAGAGATGCTCTGACTGCCACCAGACACCTCATCATCCTTGGGGACTTTTCTCGTCCCCAGGATAGACCACGCCCCCAGCACACTGCCCCACCTTTTCTTTCACCGCCTGTTCTCTCAGTTCTCCCCAAACAGAAGGAACAAGTCATCATAACATAAAGAGGTTGTAAATAGTTCTACATCTTAAATTTTGTAACCAGAGCCGTGGTGTGCCAATTCTCCCTTCCCAGAGGACCGCTGTTCTCTCTCTCTTCTGGAGGGTGAACCCTTTGAGCCTCAGACTTTCCTTAGATTTTCACCTTCTTTAGGCTGCACATGGCTATTTGAGAAAGACCATGCTTGCAGCTCTGTGCAGCTGAAAAATGCAGGGAGGGGGGAATAATTGGCTCAAAACTCGTGTCCACTCAAGTGCCCAGTAATGGCTGGTCAGTTTACATCGAGGGGTTCAGATGATGGGATTCAGACCACATTAGAGCCTCTTCCTCCCAAAAAATGTCCCTACAGGGATTTGCTCACTTCTTTTTGTACTTAGTGGATTTTTTTGGCAAATGTTACTTGATAAAATATTTTTCTTATATTATTTTTATGTAAGTAATATATATTCATTCATTCCATACCAGTTAGGAAATATGGATAAGTACTTATAATAAGAACATCACGCAGACTTGCCATCCATGGGCAATCACTCCGCACAGTTGTGTCCATCTGTATTTCTGTGGGACTCGATGTGCCTGTTCCATACCTGTGTGTATGTATTACATGGCATAATATTATGCCTGTTTCATTGTATTTTTAAGCTTCATTCATTTGTTCACACTATCAATCTTGTTGTTAATCCTCTAAGTACTTATTGAGTGGCTACTGTGGTGTAGAAGTTTGGAAACTGACTAAGTTGGGGAAGTGGCTAAGTTTGGGAAATCAGTATTGGACAAAAGGGACATGAGCCCCGCACTCTGGAATTGACTGTCTAGAGAGGGAGACAGACACATAAATGAACATGTAACTAGCAATATTATGGAAGCATTCTGCAAGGAAAGAACAAGATGTTCTGACAGATAATACCTAGATGGAGGACTTAGCTTCATGGGTGGGAAGAAATTCTCTAAGAAAATGAATTTTAATCTGAGCCTAGTGAAAAATTGGGTGGTAGGGCTTGTTAGGAAGAGGGACAGGGAGCCATTGTGAGTGCTTCTAATCTAAGAGTTAGATGGAATAGTATGGGATGATATTGGAAAGGTAGGAAGGGGCTGGATCATAGACCATGCCAAAGAGTTTTTTTCTCTATATAACAATATAACAAGAAGTCTTTGCTTACCAATCAGATTACATTTACGTTATCTTTTAAAATAGCCACTGTATTGATATACAGTAATTTAATTAACTGAGTCCTTGTTATTGCACATTAGATTGTTTTTTGGTATTGCTTTTGTAACAGCACTGAATTCAACATATTTATACAAACATCACTGATCACTTGTATATTTACTTCCTTCCTTAAGATAAATTTTTAGAAGTGGAATTGGTAACTCAAAGTATATCCATTTTTCACATTTTTGATAATGTGCTCTCTGACTCCCAGGGTTCTGCTGGATCAATCATCTCTCTTAGCAACAACAGCCTCATCTGCAGCTGCCTCTGCTCTAGAAGTCAAGTTTTTGCTCACTTTCAGTCCTTCGGTCCTGATATTTCTGATCTGCTCATAGTCTTATTTTTTCCTCTTCATTACTAGGGATTTTAATAGTTAGAAATCCTTTGTTATTATTTTTTTTTAAAGATTTATTTATTTGAGAGAGCAAGAGAGAGTACATGAGAGGGGGGAGGGTTAGAGGGAGAAGCAGGCTCCTCGCTGAGCAGGGAGCCTGGTGCGGGACTTGATCCAGGGACTCCAGGATCATGACCTGAGCCGAAGGCAGTCACTTAACCAACTGAGCCACCCAGGCGCCCCTCCTTTGTTATTATTTTAATAAAATCTAAGAAGGGAGAGATGATAAACACACGTGCTCAGGTTCCGTTTTTGGACTGGGAATCCCATTTAAATCCAAGTTTATGTGTAATTCAGGAAGTTTGGTGTGAGGTAGGGATCTAACATTGTAATTGTCTCACTTTATTGAGAAGTCTGGCCTTTCTTCATGAATTTGAAGTGCCTATTATCCTAGACTGAGTTTTTATGTTGGAAATCTCTTCCAGTGGTGTATCTGCCTATTTGGGCTCCAATGCCCTACTGCTTTACACATTGCACATTGGTCACACATTTTAATTGGAGATATTTTTGATCCGTCTCTGAGCTTTCACTTCATTGTGTTCTAGCCAGACATAATTAAGTGCCAGCTATCATCACAGGATCCAGGTATCAATGGTACTGCTGCTTTTAATCCAGTTTTATGTCCTTTAGTTGTGTCTGTTTATTTATATCATCCCCAAAATAAATGTTACCATCCTAAATAGGCTGGCAAGTTAACTCAGATTGCTCAGGTACAGTACATTATCCAATTGGCCTTATGGTCTAATAGTTAGACTGGAACAATGTATTTGTTTCCACTGTACTCTGTTTCTGTATTTTCAAATGCAGCAAATAATTGCTGATTAGCCACTCAGTGTTATATGTGAGAAAGCAACAGATTTGTTCCCTTCGTGGGAACTTCTTGGTTGATTGTAGACTCTCTGCAGTGATGTGCAAACACCACTCAATACTATCTCAGATTCTCTGTACATAGCTCGATTCAAGCCTCTATTTGTTAATGTGTTCTTTCATAAAAGAGTCTTCAAACTATTAGCAGTATCTGATGAATATCTTTATAGTCTCAAAATTTCTTATCTTCAGTAAATAAATCTTTTCCTTCACAGCAAGGAGTTTTACAATGACCATTTCAGCTTTAAAAAAAAGTCCAAGCCGCATCAATTTAATTGATTCATCAAATAGTTTTGTGTGTTTATGATGTACCAGGAAATGTTTCCAGTGCTGGGTATGTGGGTAATGCACAGAACAGACTGTCCCTGATGTCCTCTAGCTTATTAATTGAAGACACAGATAATAAACACATAAACAAGTAAATAAACAATTTAATAAGGGAGGGACAAGTACTCTGAAAAGTGTAGAATGTGACAATGGATAGTTATAGAGTGATGGGAGTCAGGAAGGGCATCTTTGAACCTGTGATATTTGACCAGGTACTTGAATTTGGTGAGTGTTTGAGCCATGGTTAGCCTATTTCTAGTCTGGTCGTAGTCAATGCTTTATTATGAAGTTCTTAAACTGGTGATTTATGCAGGGATATACTATCTTGCACTGCAAATATAAGACCACTGCCTGTTTTGGAATCCATTAAATCACAGGGTGAATTGATTCCATTTATGATAAATGGTCACCCAAGCTTGAACAACCCATTTAAACACATCACCTGTGTTTCTAAACCACACAGACAGCATCATCCATACCAAAAACATTCATCTCTTTTTAGGCATGCTACATGCTTCATTTTATTTAATCTTCAGGATTACTCTTGGAGAAAATTATCTATTACATTTTGTAAGTGATTAAACTGAGATCCAGAGAAGTTAAGAAACTTGTTCAAAATCACTCATTTGAGTCTTATTGTCTTGGAAGCACAGGCTCCCGTCCTCCCATCACCACCACAAAATCTATTCATTGGAGTGATTAAATAAGTGTGTGTTGGGGGGAGTAAGTGTGTATGTGCATGTGCATATATATGTGTGTGTGTGAAATACATGTGTGTGCATACAATATGTATTTAGAAATTAAGAGTTATTAAATTTGCCTGACCATTTACATTGATTTTAGTCATTTTCACAGTTACTATATTACAGTGTTTTCCACTTTCCAGTGTTTTTTTTTTTTTTTTTTTCCACTTTCCAGTGTTTTGAGTCATAGTAACAAATACCTTTTTTCTGTGGCTCTCTTTCTATCCTAGCAGGTTTTTTTTTTCCCCCTCTCCAGAAGGGAGATATATTCACTCATATAACTCTATCCTTTAAAACAACAACAATGACAAGAACAACCTTAAGGTTTTTAAAACTTTTAAAAATACCACTGGAAGGGTGCCTGGGTGGCTCAGTTGGTTAGGCGACTGCCTTTGGCTCAGGTCATGATCCTGGAGTCCCGGGATCGGGTCCCACATCGGGCTCCCTGCTCAGCAGGGAGTCTGCTTCTCCCTCTGACCCTCTTCCCTCTCGTGCTTTCTATCTCTCATTCTCTCTCTCTCGAATAAATAAATAAAATCTTTAAAAAAAAAAATCACTGGAAGATTTCTGCTTAACTCTACCAAAATTATTTACTGTTCTTTCTATTTTTGCCATATCTTTATCACCTTCATTTTCATCTCTGACATTCCTCTCACATCTCATGCATTTCTAGCTTCCTCACTAATGATGGGCTGATATGGAAATACATCTTCAGAAATTCCTCCATTTTCTAAACATTGAAGATTATCTTATTTTATATACTCACTGTGATCCCTAAAATTTAATTTAACAATGTATTGATAGAAAGGATGCAAAAAGTAGGTTCTTTTGGAAAACTGCATCAATAAACTGTCCTTGGACAGAGTCATCGTAATGGCAGACGTATTATGGTCAGTGATTTGTAGTTTTGTAAAGTAATGATGTAATAAAACTCATGGATATGGCTGTTCTAATGAAAGGAAAAACTATGAAAATCAATCAAAAATAAATACCTAAATCTAGCAGCTGAAATAAATCAGCATGGAAGTTGAGATAAATGAACATAAAGACAGTCTAACATGATAACTCTTATGCTTTTGTATTGTTTGATACTCAGCAACTTGAGAAACTAGGAGTTTGTTTTGGAAAAACTCCCAATAGCCTTTACGTAATTGTCCAGCCTGGATTATTTTTATTCCCGTATTTGTTGTCATCAGGATGTTATGATTCATATCGCTTCCTAACTTGTAGAGTATTGTATAGAGACGAGTTTTTCTCAGGAACATACTTGGCCTGTGATATGTGCCTACACTTGTTTGGAGTGCATATTAGCTTTATCTCCATTACACAAGGAACATCTTTATTATCAATTTATCAAATGTGAAGTGCATTTCCTATGTGAGACTTAAGTGCTTGACTCTTGAAACATCACAGCGAAAAGATCATTGTGTGTGAAGATTTTTGCTCCATTTTTTTAGTTATTATGCAGCATAGATCCTGAAGGATAAGAAGGGGCAAAATCCACATCTTGTCTCTGGTTTCCCTACTCCAGTAGTTCTTCTTCTTCTTTATTTTTTTTTAAAGATTTTATTTATTTATTTGACAGAGACACAGTGAGAGAGGGAACACAAGCAGGGGGAGTGGGAGAGGGAGAAGCAGGCTTCCCGCCGAGCAGGGAGCCCGATACAGGGCTTGATCCCAGGACCCTGGGACCATGACCCGAGCCGAAGGCAGACGCTTAATGACTGGGTATTTCTTCATCTTAGCGGCACATTAGAATCACCTGTGGAGTCTTGATAACTTTTTTTTTAAAGATTTTATTTATTTTATCTTAGAGAAAGTGGGGGAGGGCAGAGGTCTCAAGCAGATTCTCAGCTGAGCATGGTGCCAGAAGCAGGGCTCAATCCCACAACCCGGTGTTGATGATCTGCGCTGAAACCAGGAGTCAGAGGCTTAACAGACTGAGCCGCCCAGGCGCCCCATGAGTGTTGAAAACTCTTGAACCCAGACTACAGCCAAGTTAAATAGAATCTCTGGGGTGAGGCTCTAACATGAGTAGATTTTAAATCTCCCCAGATAGGGACGCCTGGGTGGCTCAGTCTGTTAAGCGTCTGCCTTTGGCTTAGATCATGATCCCAGGGTCCTGAGAGCAAGTCCTGCATGAGGCTCCTTGCTCAGCAGGGAGCCTGCTTCTCCATCTCCCTCTACTGCTCCCCCTGCTTGTGCACACTCTTTCTTTCTGACAAATAAATAAATAAAATCTTTAAAAAAAAAAAAAGAAGCTTTAATCTTCCCAGATAATTCCAATATAAAACCAGCACTTTAGTCCAGTGGTTCTCAAATGTGAGTTGTCAGAATCATCTGGTGAGCTTCTTAAAACACATCCCTTGGCCACCTGCGTTTCTCAGTAGGTCTTGCTGTAGACTGAGGATCTGTAGTTCTAGCAGTTTCCCGGGTGATGCTGATATTGCTGATATCCCGAGATCACACTTTAAGGACTGTTGTGTTTTTTTTTTTAAGATTTTATTTATTTATTTGAGAGAGAGAGAATGAGAGACAGAGAGCACGAGAGGGAAGAGGGTCAGAGGGAGAAGCAGACTCCCCGCTGAGCAGGGAGCCCGATGTGGGACTCGATCCCGGGACTCCAGGATCATGACCTGAGCTGAAGGCAGTCGCTTAACCAACTGAGCCACCCAGGTGCCCTAAGGACTGTTGCCTTAGTCTTTTCCCCCCTTCTTTTCCACCTACGCCATTTCACTTTGTTTTCAAGGTCCAGGTGAAATCTCCTTGTGTATGAAAATGTTACAAAATTATTCTAGTCACACTGATTTCTGTTATACCTTTTATGTAGTAATTAATTACCTACTGCCTATGGCATCTCCTCAACCGCCTTTATTTATTTATATTTTTTAATGTTCACGTGTTTGTTTTATCACCCCCACTATACTATGCATCCTGTGTGCTGGAGAGAGAGATCCACGTTTTCCTGTGCTTCTTCACATTCACTCTGCTCCCGGCTTGGTGCCGTAGACATGGCAGAGACTGACTAACTGGATGGATGGATGGATGGTTGCAGTAGATTAATTGTGGATTAATTACCTGACAGTTTCCTTTTTTCTGTTTCATGTTTATCAGATCTGAAGTCCCTTTAGAAATCGTTGAATCTCTATGTCCTCCTGGGGCTCGCCATTTACTTATTTGTAATATAAGGAGGCTGGGCTAATTCCTATGGTTACAGAAAAATAACATCTTGCAGGGAAAAGAGCATAGGATTTGGAGTCAGGCCTGCATAAAGCCTGCACATTTATACAGAATGGGTGATCAGAAACAAGTTACCCAAACAATTTGAGCTTTGCCGGCCTTATTTCTTTGATATGCATAAGAGTAAAAGTCATCAAAGAAAAGATGTATGGAAAGCACCTGGCAAAGGTCTTGACATTTGCTAGGCACTCATAATTATGAACTCTCTTGCTTCCATCAAAATTCTAACATCTATTTCCCCAAACCATGCACTCTGGTGTTGGCCTACTTCAAACCATCAGGTGGACTTTTAGGAAATACGTTTTAAACTTCAATTATATGACTCTTTATTTAACTCCTTAGTTTCCTACTAGGGATCGGAGCTGGTGTGTTGCTGTCCTTTGGAGGCCACAGCTCCACCTGTCAGCCTCCCACCCAGCTACCTTCCAGTCCCAGCCCCTGTTATTCTGGTGTATCCTTCAAACAACTCTGACCTGCCAGTGTGGCCCTCTGACAGCTCCACCCTGCGCATGATGCTTTGCTGTTTTAAGTCTCATGTTCCAGATCTGTGAAATCTGTGCTTGGTGTGGCCACGCTATAGAGGAAGCATTGGCTCTGGACCGGGAGGACCCGACTCTGAACCTGAGTTCTGCCATGAACAAGATGTTGGGCACTTAAGCTCTTTGGATCTCAGTCTTTAGCTATAAAAATGGTACTTGGACCAGAAAATCATAACCAACTGTCTTTAAGTCTTAAAATCCTTGCCAAACACTGAGCTGAGTACATATTAATATCTCATTTCAGAAACTGTGAAGAAGAGACTGTGATTCTAGCATACAGATGAGGAAATTGGGTGCAGAGAGGTTAAGTAACTGAGGTCACGTAGCTACTGAATGGCTAGGATTTGTACCTGAGAACTTAAACTCTTTCCTTCCTTATTATCAGCCATTGCATGATTTCCTAGAATTATGAGAGTGCTCCCAGATTTAAAATATTATGATCATATGAGATTTGTTTCTTCCAACAACTAATACATGATAGGCAAGATGTGTATCATTTACCACTAGCATAGAGAACAAGAAATTTAGGCTTCAGTGAGAAAATTGAGGCTAAAAATGCCATGAACTATAAAGAATTGATGGTGCTTATTTTCATGGAGTTTATAATCAAGAGATTGCACAAGAACAACAAACTCGTAATCAATATCATGGGTGTCTTTAACAAGGTTCTTTAACGAAGTTATTTTATGAACGTTGCATCTGTCTATGTAAAATCGAACATAGTTCAGCTGTTAAATTTCAGAAGCTCACGTAGACTATTCCACTTTTATGCACTTTTCCAGGTGTGTTTGTAATTTCAGAGATAATAGGAACTCTCAACTGGCTGCATTCTGTGTTCTAATAGAGTGACTGAAACAACAAGCTTACTGCCAAGGAATGATGTAGGTGGTGGGTTGATCAGAAGCATTAAGCATGTGGTTAATAAATGTGCTACCTATGTAATCTCTGCACATTTTTTTTCAACTGTAGAATAAAGAACTAAAAACCAAGGTGGCGCTTTGGTCTGAAACGCCTAGGACAACAGTATCTAAGGCTGTCTCTACAAGGTAAGGTTTTCCTTCCCCCACCGCCATCTGCCTTCACAGCTTCTGTTGGACATTCATTCAGGAATGTTGACGTTTATTCACTTGAGAAATATTCCAATCTATTAATACTTATGTAGTAATCATTGGTTTACTGTTTCCCAGTTCTTGAGAAGAAGACCTGTGTTATTTGTTCATCATTGAGCCTAACATAGAAATACTTACTGAATAAATGAGTGAATAAATTTAGATATCTTTTCTTGCTTTGTGCCATAAAATAAGCCTAGTCTTGGCTTCAACACTTTCTCCAAGCAGCACACATCATTTCTTCTCTGTTGTCCTTGTTTCTCCATTTACTCCTGTGTTCTATAGCATTGATGAGCATATTAATTATAAATTGTTTGTATTTATTTAAATGTCCACATCTGTATCTCAAACCAGGTAGATTGTCAATGTCAAGAAGGCAGGAATAGTTCCTTGTATTTGTATTTCACTTTATTTCCTGCATTGCTAAGGGCAAGTGTCTTCAGTAACTACCTAATAATGACTGAATCAAGCAATGACAATGGCCCATGACAGCAATCAAAATGATGGTTGAAACCATCAAAGTCACTTTCTAATGGTGACAGAATCTGAAATGACAAGTTGTAAAAAAAAAAAAAAAAAGACTTCTGGGCTCAAATCTTATTTCCATAATACTCTATGAAATTATCACTTAAAAGAAAACATAGTCTGTAATTACATGAATCATTTTAAAAGTGATTAAAAACTTCCTGTTCCAGCAGCTTTTGAATTTCCCAGTCTAGTCCCTCTAGGGCAAAAGCCTGTTTTCTGCAACTCACCTCGGCGCAGTGCCTGAGGTAGAAAATCAGGCCTGCTGTGATCAGCCTCAGTCCAGGAAATCAGGTAGATCCATCTTCCTCTTCAGAATTCCCTGCAGCCTTGCTTCACTTTGCTAACGATGTATGTAATTAGAGACGAGATGAAGCCATTCTGAATCGAGGCTTCTAGAATCCTTGGGCTCCCGGAGGCTAAGTTATCAACTTTTTGGCCACTGGCCCTGCAGCTTCCAATAAAGAAAAGAAACTAAGCCCCAGAGAGGTTAAAGGAGGAAGTGAATACCCACGATTCAGAAGCAGTGAGAGAAGTAGTCACTTCAGTGGGGGAAGAAATGGAAGAGTCCAGAATAGAAGGGCAAGCATGACTTCCCAAGGGAAAGGAAAGGGATTGCTTTGTTGTTCCCTTACCAGATACCAGTCCCCTTGGGGTGGTAGGGCATAGTGGCCCTTCTCAGCTGTTTTGATCCTGTAGGGAGTGCAGCCAGAGTGGAGTAGAGGAGGGAGAGTCTGGTTGTCTCTAGATTGTAACTACTCCAGTATGGAATGCGGAAACTCTAGCCCGTGCAGAGGGAAGGTGCTGGAGAGAATGACTTCTACCGCCAATTCTTTAGCTGTAGTGAATTAATTGTTCAGGTCTTTAAGTTTTAAAGATATTTTTTTCTTCCTATGACTTGGTAGATCTCATCTTTGTAAGATAAAATATGACCAATTGGCTGCTTTGAGAATGTAAGCAGTAGTATGATTTGGGAAGTCTGGGTTCACCCATAGGCAATGGAATTATAACTCAAGGGAGAGACTGGATTAGAAAAGTAGCTGGTAAGGGGGAAAATAATCATGTACATTTAAAGATTAATCCAGGCAAATCTCTTTAATCACCCATAAAATGTAGCTCTATATCTCTAAGTACTACAAAGCAAGGTGTTTCCCTTGAGCATTAGAACATAGAGATATTTCTTGAACACAGGAAGAAGTGTTTGCTGGAGATTCGGGGTCATGTTCTTCGACAACAACAACAGAACACACATAGAAGCCTGTGTGTGTGTGTGTACACTCACATATACATACATGTATATTTTATTTTTTTTTAAAGATTTTATTTATTTATTTGAGAGAGCGAGAGCATGAAAGGGAAGAGGGTCAGAGGGAGAAGCAGACTCCCTGCCGAGCAGGGAGCCCGATGCGGGACTCGATCCCGGGATTCCAGGATCATGACCTGAGCTGAAGGCAGTCGCTTAACCAGCTGAGCCACCCAGGCGCCCCATACATGTATATTTTAAATACTAGAATCACACATTGAGGAGAGAAGTTCAGACTGAGAAGCCCACAGAACTACAGTGTCCTGGCAGAAGGGTTGATTTGCTTCCTGTCTCCAAGTCACTCCAGTGCACATCTTCACTCTGTGGAATGGCAGACATAGGCTCTCTCTCTTCCCTCCCCTCCCTCTTGTCCTACTACAACTAGTTGAATTGACATAAGTTTGACGCTTCCACATGTGATTCTAGTATGTCTCATGGGGAATTAGAGTCAACCAATTAACCACCATATCTCTTAGGTTAAAGCAATTAGTGCAAACTGGGCAGTAGAGCGGTGGTGGAGATGGTAATCATGGTGATACAGCACTTATGTCACGAAAATTTAATGTGCTCGATTTCAATAATGGTATGGTCTTTTCTACAGTGAATTGAAGACTGTCGACACTACGCCCTATTTGATGTTGATTAGGCTCCGGAAATGAGCTGACTGGCTGAAGATCTGAATGAGAAAGATTGCTACGTGGGTCTTATTTATTCCTTGAAACACAGCCTAAACTTGCATGTTGAAATGGCTCAATGCCAGCATTCAATGTATACATCAACAGCTTTGCAGGAAGATGACATTCCAGAAAATCAAACGAATATATATTCAAGGGAAGGAACTCTTTCTTCAGAACTTAACAAAATGGGTGAAGAGACCAGGGGCTTTCGATGGAAAATGAGTTTTGCTGTAAACTTAAAGATCTGAATCTTTCTTGCAGATTTTTGCTGGAGGGAGTGGTTTAAGGTTGCTGACAGTGACTTTTTGATAGTGGTTTTTATGTATATAAATGGAAGAGTGTATGTGTGTATGTGTAAATGATATATTTTAAAGTTCACTTTGGATAATAAAAAAAATATCTAACATGAATTTATAAATTCACCTCCTGACCCAGTGTTCATGGGAGAGTTACTGTATTATGGGCGGGAGAAGGAGTAGGTTCTGTTTAGCTAATTCCCCAACCCACATAACCCTCCAAAGCTGAGAATGATGGCGTCTCACCACACCTGAAGAAGCCATTATTCTTCAGTTGGGATTGAAAATTGGTTGCTAGAGACAACCCACAAATAAGCACAAAGAAATGGAGCTTGTGGCTCTCTCTGGCTTCGTGACTAATTTTCTTAGATTCATTATATTATCTGCGACGATCTTTGGAGAGAAGAATAGAAACACAATGCTGTCAGCTCACACCTTCAGAAACATGCTGTCTGCAGCCAGGAAGACTGTGAATTCATGAATTGGAATTAAATGTCCAGTGCTTTGGTGAGAGCGTATTTACATTTTGATATGGACATTCATCACAGGTGGAGTCTGGGATTGCTGTGAGGAAAACCAGACTCTGATTTGCAGAAATGCAAACATGTTGACCCTCCAGAAGAGAACACACTTCAACTAAGGGAATAATGGGCAGCCTTAGCCCCACTGAAGGCTGAATTACTTGTAAGCCTTTTGATGGTCCTCTCAGGTGTAGGACTGTAAACATTTTCTCAGGAAAGATGCTGGAAACCTTTCAATGTGGAATGTGAAATAGCAGTGTTATCTATGAAATATTTAAAAATAGATACAAATGAGATAAGTAATGTATTTATAAATTCATCAAAGTAGTGTAATCCTTGGGGCACCTGGGTGGCTCATTCGGTTAAGCATCTGCTTTTGGCTCGGGTCATGATCTCAGGGTTCTGGGATTAAGTCCTGCATCAGGCTCCCTGCTCAGCGGGGAGTCTGCTTCTTCCTCTGTCCTCTGCCTCCTCCCCACTGCTCATACTCTGTCTCTCCCTCTCTCTCAAATAAGTAAAATATTTAAAAAAAAGTACCGTAATCCTTGAAATGTTGCATAATTGTATGTATGCATTTCATGCTTCACGTTTTTATTGCTTGCTAGTTTTTCAAATGTAGTTATCGAATAATATCTATGGCACAGTTCCTATACCAGGAACAATTCTAAGTACTTTACCTGTATTAATTACTTTGATCTTCCCAACAGGCCTCAAAAGTAGGTCATATTATTACTCCATCTTCTAGGGGTGGATACTGTGAGGTCCAGGACTTTTCCCTGCTGCTAATGATGGAGCAAGGATTGGGACCTCTGACTTGGCTCTCAGTAGTCCTTCTGTCTGCTCACTTGGTGGTCTGAGATATTTCCACAATTTAGAAATACCTCTTTTTGTTCCTTTAAAAACACAGCTTCCTTGTTGGCTATATGCATTATCCCATGAATGACACTCAGAAATAACCCTGACTCATAAAGTAAAGATTTTGCTACAATGAAGTTGGCCTTTCACCTGTTGGATTACCCTCATGCAAACTTAATTCAGAAAAACTTCCCTGCTAAAAATCTTCAAATTCTACATTTATTATCATGACCCTTATGCCGCATGGAAGATTTTTTGGTAGTATATTTTCAGGCACATTTGTAGAGAGATTGGGATCATGAACTCTGTCAAGCATTTGCAGTGTGGTAGGCGAATTCGCCTTTCACCTGGAGACTACTTAGGGTTCGTTTTACACCCCAATCACCATGCAGGTTGGTAATAAGTGTGAGAGTTTGGAATGGATCCATCTAACTGAGCTAACAACTAGAATGATTCCCATTAGAATAATGTATTCTAGAGTCAAAAATGGGAAGACACTGTTGGATTTAATTTAGGTTTAACTCTGCTCACTTTTGAATATGGAAGTATACTGGACATGATACAGCTAGGATCTGGTCATGTGCTCTCCACATTCACCCTGGAATCACCTTTGGATTTCCTGAGAATAAGAACAAGCAGTTTCAGAAGCTTAAAAAGGTCTGGACTCTTCAAATACAAAAGTATGTTTTTAGTAGCATCAGCAATATCATTTATTTGTCATATGTGGATTATGTCCTATATCTTTATTGTTTCAGCTTTTATGATTTGGAATGTTTTTTGAATAAATATTTCTGGGCGATGAAACAAATGATCATAGTGGAGAATAAAAAGCATTAACCTAAAAGTAGTACCACAAGAGAAATACAGGAAAAGAAACACCAGTTTAGGTGTAGTCTAAATAATTGTCCTTATAATTATACTAATCAATATATTAAATAAGAAGGTCTGAGGTGGACCTTGAAGTGAATACAGGAAGGTGGAAAATAAAAAGAAACTTTGTTTCACTTTGATTACATACTATTACAAATTATCATTAAGAAATGTTTAAGCAACAACAAAATGTCTAAACAATTGGTATAATACATATATCTTTTGAATAATTGCTTATGGTATGCCTTACAATAAAGAAATTTATATCATATTTTATTTTTTGTTATTTTTTTTACATGAAAATTATTATGCATAAGGGAATTAAGTCATTTTTATTTGATTGTTCATGACAATATAACCCATAGTAAATGGATTGGTTTTGCCAGTGAACAGATACTTAGATAGCTCCCTGAATTTTTCTGTTAATTTTCCCTGGATCCAAATTAATGGAAAAAGTAATCTATTAAGTTTTTATTCTGAATTTGAAAAAATAATGGCATTATTATAAAATTAAGAACAAACACACCTCTCAAACATTTTATTTCTTTATTTTGAAAATATTTACCTCTCCTCTGAGCTGGGAATAATTATAGAATCCTATCAATATTGAAGTAGGAACCCAATCCATCAGGAACTGAAAATTCTCACTGATGTTAGCATTACCATTCCCGCCCCCCACTTCCTCCCTTCTGTACTTCCTTCCTTCTTTTATTTTTTTAGTGGGAAATATTCAAGATGCAATAAAGATTTAAATAACATATTTAATTGCTTAAGTATATACTTTTAAGTGTTAAAAATTGAACTAGAATTACAGAAAGTTGGGATTTATCCTAAGCATGCAAGATTGTTTTATCATTTGAAAATCAATGTGATTAACCATATATACATAATAAAGAAAAGCCATATAATTGTTTAAGTAAGTGAAGGAAAGTATTTGATAAAATTCAGCACTCATTCATAATAAAAACTCAGCAATCTGGGAATATGAAATTTTATCATTCTGATAAAGAGCATTTACAAAAAAGCCTTCAGTCAATATAACTAATGATGAAAGACTAATGCTAAGATGCTTGCTCTCGCCACTTAAACATTTACTGTAAGTCCTAGCCATTAGAATGTCAAGAAAAAGAAAAAGGAAGAAAAGGCATACAGATTGGAAAGGAAAAGTAAAACTGTCTGATGTTGTTCATATAATTGTTGATGCAGAAAACTTCAAAGAATCTACCAAACAGCTACTAGAACTAATGAGTAAAATCAACAAGGTCACAGATCACAAAGTTAAAATATAAAACCCAACATATTAACAGTTTGGTATTGGTGAAAACATAGACAAATATAAAAGTGAATGGAAAGGAGAATCCATAAATAGAGCCATCTATGTGACTGATTTTTGACAAAGGTGTCAAGGCCATTGAAAGGACGCAGGAAATTCTTCTAAATAGTGCTGAAAATACTACAGGTTTTGAATGTGAAAAAAAATTAGCATCAATTCTTATCTCACACAATATATAATAATTCACCTGAAATGGACAATATACCTAAATGTAAAGCTAAAACTATAAAATGCCTAGAAGATAAGGTAGGCAAGATACTTAAATAGCACACAAAGAGCACACCATAAAAGAAAAAAATTGATAATTGGACTTGATTAAAATTCAAATACTTTGCTTTTTGAAAGATACCACTACACAAATTTTAAAAAGCAACTTTTTATAGGATGTGGATTGTATAGGATTTGTATTCCGAATATATAAAGAACTTTTTAAACATAATGAGAAGACAAACCAACAAAAAATACTGGCAAAAATGTTTGGAGAGTCACTTCATAAAACAAGATAGACAAATTACAAATACACACATGAAAAGATGCTTAATCCATTAGTTATCAGGGGAATGCAAATGAAAACCCCTAAGAAATAAGCACCAAACACACCTAATTAGAACAGCTAAAATAAAAAGCCTGGCCTTACTGAGTATGTGGAACAACCAAATCATATGCTAAAGGTGAGAATACAAATACGGTATAAGCACTTTGGGAAACAGGTTGTTTCTTTAAAAGTTAAATATACACCTGCCACATGACCTAGCCACTCCATTCTTCAGTTTGTTATTGCTGTTGTTTTGTTTTGTTTACCAAGAGAAACAACAGCTTCTGTCCACATAACAATGTGTATCTGAATTTTCATGGCAATTTTGTTTGTAATAGCCAAAAACTGAAAACAAAACAGATGTCCATCAACAGGTGAACAGGTAAACAAAATGCGGTACATCCATACTGGAGGATATAGCTCAATAAAAAGAAACAAAAAGCACAAACAAATATATACAACAATGGATAATCATTATCCGTAGTGAAAGAATCTAGAGGAAAAAGAGAGGACATAATGTGTGATTCCACAGGGTGAGAGAGCAAATCAGTATTTGCCCGGGGACACGAGAAGAGACAAGAGTGCAGGGGGGTACAGAGAAACATAGGGAGGGAGCAGAAATGTCCAGTGTGTTGATATTGGTGATGGCATGGATGTGTTCCATGACAAAATCAATACCT